ACACACACACACACACACAGAGAGAGAGAGAGAGAGAGAGAGAGAGAGAGAGAGAGAGAGAGAGAGAGTCTTCTACTCTGCAAAAGCTATATGCTCTGAACTCTGCTCTGAGGAACATTTACTTGGAATCTGTGCACCACATCCAAAGGGAGATGTGAGGTCCAGTTCTCTCTCTCACATGCTCATAAACCAGCAGCTTCCCTCCATACAAGTTGGACTGCATCTTCCATCGCTCCTGCTCAAGGTCCTTGTTTCTGGGATCTGCTGGCTGATCTAGAGAGCGTGTGAGGTCAGATGTAGGAGTGTGGCTTGTGAATACCACCATGGCCACCACCCACAGCATGGATGTGGCTGCCCATGGTGAATTCAAGCCCCCCTTCCGCCCATGTACATATTGCCTCTAATCCTACGCTGAGCAGCATAACAATTACACAACAATTAATTGTTCGGCAACTGGTCACAATATGCTTCTCTCCTTTTCATTGTTAATGCTGTCCACTAATGTACAGGTGCATTCATGGGGACCAGGAGCTGCAAAAGACTGGAAAGATTTTGGTGATGTCCCTGGAACACAAGAGACTTTTCCTAGTCCACAAGCTGCTAGGATGACCTTCCGTTTTTCCTCCAAAGTGCAAACATCTTCTCTTTTCCCTTTCACCAAGATGTTTGCACAGCTGAAAATTTGGACCCTTTGGAAATTTGGGCATGGCCACCAGTCTTGGCCTTGGCATGGATCCTCAGGAGAATAAGGCTCATAAAAGATATTCTGTTGGTTGGAAGATGGAGATGTCCTTTTGGTGACCATGGGTTGCTTGCAAATGATATTTTAGAAAGGCAATGGGGATTTTTTTTTCCAGGCTTGACTGTGGGTGGGAGGGCAAGCTTGGGTCAAGCAAGATTGACCAACAGACAATATTTAATCAAATAAGGACCAGCAGGTTGATCTGTCCTTGGGAATAAGGAGCCATAAATGATAGAGGTTAAATCTTCAGGGCTTAAAATTCAGAGTATTTGTTAAACGGACTTGTGAAACTAATAATTTTCAGATTACCCATGCGAACGAAGCACCAGACAACATACTGTGCGTTTGTTTTAAAAGGCTCCCTGGTGTTATTAAAGTAGATCTTGGCATAGATTGTGAAAAACAGTTACAACATAACAAGATGTTTTCTTGAATAGGTTAACATACCATACCTTTAAATATTATAAGGCTTATTAAAATTTAGTGCAAAGAAAATGAAGTTTATATGTGATGCCATTCCCTAATGATGTAACTTCAAGATTTTCAGTTTTGATATATTTTACTCTCAGTTAATACATTCTTGAAATGAGATTTCCGACTTTGGCATGCCATGACCGATTTTTACGGTAGAATCTACTGATGAGCTTCTCTTGGACCCTGTGCTGGGGATGGCCTATTTGAATGTTCTCCCATGAAAACATCAGCGCTGCTTCTCCCTGACTTGCCAATTTTCTGTGGAAGGAAAAGGTTACGCTTACTCACAGAGGAAGTATTAAAATAAATGACAGGCAATACCACCTGAAGGAGCAGAGCCTGGGAAAAGTCTTGCCATGATTCTGCAGAATGTTTACTGAGTGTAAGCTCTACCCATTGAAAGAAACTTGTTATATTTTGTCCTCAGCAATACGATCACTGCCCTGCTTTATTTTTGCATAACTATTTATTTTACAGAGCAAGGAAGTTCAGGAAAAGTTTAAAATGAATATAAAATTCAACTTCCAGTGTTAGCCCTTTACCCATATGATTTTTCTTCTTTAAAAATAAGAATTATTTGCACATATTCAAACTCTTCCAGATGGTCACTATGTTGTTCTTAATGTTTTGAATAAAAACCCAGATATTATAATGAAACATTTTTGCTAAACCTTCTGACCACTGTGCACTTGTTGGCTTTCCCTGGTTGTTTTGATCACCATCCCATATTAAATATGCTGTGAAAAACTAACCGCTGCTGCACCTCTTCTATTAAAAACTACAGTCTTATGCAGTCCTATGGCCCCATGGAAGAAATTTCAGGGGGCATAGGAAATTTCGAATTTCCCTCTGCAAGATTGGAAAGAGCACTTCCCACCCCCAACTCCTGTAGAAAGTACCACATCGTTCACCACACCAATGCTGGAAATCCGATTTTAGGAGGAATAGAAAGGGGAGGATTGTTCTAACCTTGAAATGCTCTAACTCAAAAGGTAAGCTTGCCCTGTAAATGCCAGATCATTTCAGTACTGAATATTGTCGGGTTGTAAATATGATTGCACATCAAATATCAAATACAATCAAATGAGAGTTGGAAAGATTATCAATGGAAAGATGTTTCACTGGAGACCAAAGGCAGGATTATCCACACTATTGTGTTCCCAATCACTTGGCACGGGTGTGAAAACTGGACAGTGAAAAAAGCTTACAGTGATTAAAAGGATACATTAAAAACATGGGGCTGGAGGAGAGCTTTGAGAATATCCTGGACTAAGAGAAAGATAAAGGACTGGATCCTAGAGCAAATCAACCCAGAACTTTCCCTAGAAGCAAAAGTGATGAAACTGAAGCTGACATGAGAAGGAAAAACTCCCTGGAGAAGACAATCTTGCTAGGGGAAGTTGAAGGGAGAAGAAGAAAAGGAAGGCCCCGTGTGGGATGGACTGACTCCCTCAAGGAAGCCACAGCCTGGAATTGACAAGAGCTGAGTAGGGCTGTCACCAATAGGACATTCTAGAGACAAATTGACAGCACATAATTCAACAATCGGAGATGAATTGACAGCACGTAAATCAACAATCAGGTACTGTCAATCACCAAATATTTCTACATATCAACTATCCAGTAGTGCCAGATCACCAACCATGAAATCAAATTTCAATGGGTATTAGGGAAATAGTTGAGTATTCAGACAAATCCTGGTGAATGGAAGACACAAATTTAAATAATTTGTAGAAGCAATTTGATTTCAGTTGTTCTGAGACTATCACATATGATTAGGGGTGGGTTCAAAAGTCATTTAGTTAAGTTTTTAATGTAAGTTGATCTCAATCACACTTCCTAAACTAGTACACAATTTGGAATAGGACAAGCCTTTGGGTTTTACTCTTCTCTGAATTTTGCAATGTGTTCCTTTTTTAACATGCAAAATGCATGTTTTAGCGAATTCTAATGAGGAAGTGCTTGCCAAAAAAAAGGCTTTCACAAGTCAATACGGGGCCATTGTAAAAATAAAATCAAGCATAACCCTAAAAAGAATGGAGCGAGCTTTTGCCTGACAAAATGGGGCTGTTGTGGAAAGTAAAACTAATGTCCACCCCTACTCATTTGTGTGGCAAACACAGCTAGCCATAATTCCTTTGTGTGTGCTTTTCCTCACAAGAACCGTACTTCTCATTGGTTTGCACATTTGTGTTTGAAATTGTTAACCACCTAAGAGTGAATGAAATGATAGCAATTCCGCAATGTCAATGGAGACTTTAAAAAAAAGTCCGCCACACACACAAAGAAAGGGGGAAATTTGGGGAATATGGGGAGGAGATTTAATCTTCCCTGCCTGGTGAGGATGGACCAAATCCAGATCTGGTCCTTGTGCATTTCAACTACAGTAAATAAAAAGCTGGTATTCCACTATGCACCATCAAGTTGTAGTTAACTTAGAATTAAACAGGGGTACAAATAATAATGATTTTCTCCCACAAAACCTCTCCCCTTGGCATTTTCAGATCTACAGATGGGGACTTTCTCAGGATGCCATCTTTTGCAATTGCAGGATTATTAATATCCATGAAGTGGGTGGTGCTAGGAGCTGAAAAGACAGGACAAAATGAAACAAAATTCCATTGGCTAATTCACACCTGTTCTAAAGTCTCTCTGTCTGCATGTCTTCTAAGGACTCCCCACCTGTAAAAAGAGGTGCATGATCAGGGGAAAGGATTTGATTTCGAGGAGGAGGAGAAGCAGCAGCAGCAGCAGCAACAGATTCAACTCAGGAGGGAGGGAGGGAATGAATCCTATGTAGGCAAAAAGCCAGGTAATCCAGTGAACTGGATGCAATGGAAATGACTAGAATTGCTTCACTTGTGCAGAGACAGCAGGAAGGCAAGACAAACAGCCTCCCAGATGCTCCAAGGGGAAGAATCCAGGCTCTGGTCCTGGGGCACCACCTTCTACCCTGCTTCTATGAGGAGCAAAGTCTTTCCAGCGATGATTCCAGTGTAATGGAATGTCCTCCGCATGAGGATGCCCTGGGTCCAATTTTGCAGAGCCCTTTTTAATTTTTTTTTTAATTTTAAAAATTTGCTGGGCATGATCAATTCAGCCCACTAGCAGAAGTGTTGCGCCACTGTCCAGCATAAGGAAAAAGAACCCATGACGTCTGTTGATTTTCTCTTTAATTTGCAGGTGTGCAACGACTACCCCACAATGGCTCATGGAAAAGGTTAGGTGTTCGGATTTGTATTTCATGTACTTTTCCCCAAGTTCAAAGGCAATGTCTGCAGGACAGTTTTTGGCTGGTGAAAAAAGCAGGTTTTCAATATAGGATGCCGTTGCTTTAAGTCACAGGGTTTTTTATCTTATTTCTGTTTTTCCGTACCACTGCAGGGGACCTCTGAAGATGTCTTTATCATGAGTCGGTGTTAATTTTAAGAAATCAGTGTGATGTGCTGCTTGCAGATTATAATGTAATTCTGTAATACAAATTAGATCGGCTTTGAATGCCTTTGAAATGTAGTGTGTTAAAAAATGGTATGTACAGGTTAAAAGTTACAGATTCCGAACAACTGGGATTTACATGAAATTATCACAAGTGCTTTGATAGAGTCCTAGAATGATTCAAAAGAGCAAGTTTTGTATGAAGCCGTCTCGGTTTCTTTGATAGCCACCTTGATCTTTGTGCTGTCATCTATTAATTATATTACAGATAAAGTAAATAAAAAGTGTTGGAATATTGAGATCACAGCTTTCTTTTTTCCTGTGAAGACTAAAGGTGTAGGCTTCTATGAAGTCAGTGAGCAATGGGGGACGATAAAGGTATTCTTCTACTGACAAGCAGCATTTATTTTGACACGTGACAGAAAGAGATCTTGAGTTCAGTAGCAAACAGTACAGCTAACAAGGTAAAATATGGGGCCAGTTTGCAGAAAGAAGCCAATGGTCAAGCTTTTGTTGGACTGTACCACTTCAAGACTGTACTTCTTCAAGTTCAAGACTTCCCTCATTAAAAAAAGACCAAACACACACATACAACTGCATACAAAAATAGCATATTAAGAAGGAAGATTGACAAAATTCTTTTTTCTCACATACTAAATTTGCAAGTGCATGGTATTCTTTTGGTCCTTCCCACTTGCGCATCATGAAATGGAAAAGTACTGAGAAAACTGGAAGTTTGAATTTGCAGAATCTTACCAGCTAGTCTTCAGAGGTCCAGCAGACACTGTCCAAGGTTTAAGTAGGAGTGATACTCAACACACACCAGAAACTAATAGTAGGTTTGGGGTCAGTTTAATGGTCATTATATCCTCTGAAGATACCTGCAGACTGTTGAGTCCCTGTGAAAGATCCCAAGTTACCTTTGCAGAACTACAGTGCTCAGAATCAGGGAAGGCATTACAGTTAATCCAGTTTAAGTCTGTAATAAGATGTGCCATCAGTAGCAGATAGAAAATAACCCTTCAGCTGGAGAAACCCTGATTCAAATTCGCACTGAGCTGGATGGCTTATTAAGCAAATTTGTGATTGATGTTTATACTTTTGCACTATAACAATTTCTTCTCCCATCCTGCCAAACCAACTTATCATAGGTTTCTTTAGAGAAAAATGCTCAGAGAGACACTAGCAGTTAGAGAGACCTGGAATAAAGTCTCCACTCAGCTATGAAACTCGCTTGGTGGAATATTACAAAGAGGAAGGTCAATATCTCTTCTCAGTCATCCCAGAGTATAGAACACAGAAGAATCAGCTCAAGTTGCAACAAACCAGGTTCATGCTAGATATCTGGAAAAAAGCCCTGTTGGAGCAATATGGCAGTGGAACCAGTTGCCCAGAGAGGTCTGGTGCTTGCAAAAGAGCGTGTGGGACAGACAGCGAATATTTGGAAAAAGCTTTTCTGTTTTGATGAGAAAAACTGGGGCAACTGCAAAATGGCATATAGCAATGGACATCATTCCCACAAGAAAACGTGGTGAAGGCAAAAACATGTTGTGAGTACGACAGTGTCAAGGAAACGGGTTGGGACTGAGGGTAAGATGGATGGGCTAAATACAGGGAAATTCTAGAGGAAATTCAGTCAGCCAGGGCCCTGGGACTGGGGTGGAAAATCACCTTTGAGCAGGACGAGGACCCTAAACAAAGAGCCAGAGCACGGCTGGCACAGCTTAAAAGCAAGACCACGAATGCCTTGGAACAGCCCCATCGAAGCTGAAACCTTGATCTGACGGAGTATCTTTGGCAGGATTTGAAAGCTGCTGTTCCCCACCAGTCCCCACCCAACCCAACGGAGCAGCAGCAGCAGTTTTGCCAGGAAGAAAAGGCAGCGCTGCAAGATCCAGATGTGCCAAGCAGAATGAGTCTTACGCAAGGAGAGGCCCAGATGTCACCGCTGCCAAAGGTGCTTCTTGAGAGTCTCTTGACTGGTGGGGGGTGAACAGAGATGCAAACACCAAGCCCTAGTTTGCTTTCTGCCACCAGAAAAATATGTCGCACTTCCCAGGGTTGAGAATCTTGTGCACATGAAGCAATAACAATGACAATCTGCCTGTTTCCATTCCTGATTATAACCCAATAAAATGCCGAAAACTCAAAGGGCAGAGATAATAATTCCTCAAGACCCTGCATGAAGACACAGGCATGCTTTTAACACCCTTGGTGAGCTTTGTTGGGAAAATTCAGCTAAATCCTGGCAGAAAAGAGTGGCTTATGCATCTCTGTGTTACACAGGGTGTTTCATAAAGTACGCAGTTTTAAAAAATGCAATAAATCAGCCAAAATTGAAGCAAAATTCAAAATTTTTATTTAATTTCATTCATCATATACTTCAAATTAATAATCAAAAATGATATCGAGCATATGTCCACCTCCACTTTCTCTGCAGGAAGTCATCTGATCGTTGAAATGAACGATAACTCTTTCGCAGACGTCCCTGCCGATTTCGCCGATTACCCGTACGGTTTCGACTGGGCAATTTTCCAGTTGCAACTGACCCAGATTCTTCGAATTTCTGTACTAACCTCAAAACTGTGGTTGCGGTAGGGGCATTGTCACGTCCAAAGATCACACAAAGTTTACAGACAGTCTCTGTGTAGCACTCCCCGTTTTTGTAATGAGTTTTCACAATAAGAATGCGTTGCTCGATACTGAACCACTCCATGGCTACTAAATG